AAGCCCCTCCCTATTGGAGAGAAATCCGCTGGCGAACATCCGAGAACGCCAAGCATAGGGTGCAACAGACACACAAAGACAAACTCGCTTTTTGGGTCGCTGGCCAAGATGTTCAATCGATCCTTGGTCGTGTGGCCAGGTGCAGCGCAGAAGAGTAGCTTCAGCACGAGAAGAAATCTCCTCAACACGGACCCCCAAATCAAAAGAACGAGCCGTCGCCCGAGTCGCACAGCCATCCCGCCAGTACCTGCGAGCTCGGCACTCTCAACCCCTGTCTCACCAGTTCTTTGCAAAGAACTGCAACAAAGCGCGGAAGCGGGGAAGTGTGGAGTGTGCCCAGTTCGAGCGTCCGCGACCATTTCGAGCTTTACTGCTGAACTCTGCTGTGCAGCAACAACCCTCGGGGGCACGTCTCGGCAACTTCGACGTCGCCTCTTTAGCTGGACAACCAAACAGCAGGGCCCGAGAGACATCATCATAGTCCGCCGCTGCTTGGGCCGTGACCCTTGTGCCAGGAGATGGCGACCATTGCCATCCTTGCGTCGGAATCAGCTTGAACAACCTCGGTGTCGGAACTCGGCAACAGTAGCGAGTAGACAAAAGCCCCCTCTTCCGCGTTTTTTGTCCGGCTTCTGCTTGGCTTCCCGCTCTTTGGAGCAGGCCGACGTCCTTGCTGAGCAGGCCCACGCAGCGGCGGATGACGTCCACGAAGCACAGCTCCGCCTTGGCCAGCTCCTGCAAGGCGCCCACGGGAGCCAAGGCAAAGAGAGTCAGAGAGAGAGAGCCAGAGAGAGAGAGAGGGAGAGAGCTTCTGAGAGAGAGTCCTAGTCTCCTGCGCCGCCAGGAGCGCCACCGCGGCCTTCTCCGCTTGGAGCTCGGCCTCGGGGCGGCGGCCGGCAGAACGCAGCAGTGCCGCCGCCGCCTCAAAAGGGACCCCCCAAAAAAAGCGGAGAGAAGGAAGCCAGGATCAAACTGCGCCTATGGGTCCTAGGGTCCTAGACTCTTCAACTCGTCCTGACATGATACTGGCATGGCATGTGGCATCGTCTGGCACCTCGAAGTCTTCCGCGGCTGCCAGTGGCCTCAAATCTCACCGAGGGGTGCAAAAAATCCTCTTCTCGTACGACGGTCCCCCGAAGTCCCCGGCTGCTGCTGGCCAACTTTGGCCTCAGTGCTGCTTTTGCCCCCCTTTTAGCCGGCCGAAAAAGAAGAGCGACCAGAGGTCCCCTGGCCTTGGCCCGGCCCTCTAGCAGCTCTAAGTCCTCCCAGCCAGGAGACGGCGGAGACTTCTCCCCAGGTACCATGGGGGGTTTATATGGTTTGGGGTTTATAGGGTTTATAGGGTTTAGGGTTTTTGCGGTTTAGGGTTTCGGGTTAAGGGTTTTTGCGGTTTAGGGTTTTGAAAGAAGGTGAAGGGCTCCGCAAAGAGAGAAATTCCGAAAGGAAGGAAGAGGCGGGAAGGAGTGTGCCAGTCCTCCAGGGGCTCGCCGAAAAGATCCGCTGCCCGGTCATAGTCGGCAACGGCCGCATCCCACTGCTCCAAAGCCCTGCAACTTACGGCAACGGCACCCAAGATGAACCCAGACCCGAAAACACAGGCCGCAGGCCTGAGGACGTTGCCACGTGCCACCAGAACCTGCGCTCTTTTGGGCTCGGCTGCTTTAAAGCAACTCGCACAGTCCCAGTCCTTGGGCATTTCGTCAAACTGGACAAGGGGGTTGGCCTTGGATGCCTGGCGCCAGTATTACTGCAGGTCTCCAAACTTGACGGCACGAGCCGCACGGAGAACAACCCAAAATCCCCCGAGAACTGACTTACCCAAAAGCTCGTGACAACCCCCTGCGCTGGCCGAACGGGATTTTCCCAAAACCTCCGTACTCCAGGACCCTTAAACCGTGAAGCCCAAAGCTCCCTCTCAACACGAAACCCCAAACTCCGAACCTCAACCCAACAGGACCCAAACCCTAAACGATCCCCCTTCTAACATCTTCCGCCTCGCAGAGCTGCAGAGCCTCAACTAAGTCTGCTTGGGCCTCCTGGCAAGGGAGCTCACTACAAAACCCGTCCCCCCCTGCTGAAGTTTCGGTCTATGGGCTTCGGGGTTGTAAGGGTTTTTTCTTCTTGATGGGTTGACGGCCGCTTGCGCCTTTGGAGGCCAAGGTTTGGAAGCAAAGCCAAAACTTCAGCGTCAGGGATTGCCCTAAACCCTAAACCCTAAGCCCTAAGCCCTAAAAGCCCCAAAAAAACCCACACGGATTGTGAGACTTCGAGCTTCGAAGAGAGAGCCTGCGGCCGGCCAGCGCGCAGGCGGACCTTGGCGAGTCTCGGCCATTGATTCTTCCTTATTTTTCTATATTATTCTATTACATTAATACTATACTAGACTAGACTAGACTAGACTAGACTAGGCTAGGCTGGGCTAGGCTAGCTAGGCTAGACTAGACTATATTATATTATATTACATTAATATATTGTGATGTATAGGGGTTATAAGGCTTTGCTAGGGTGTGCAGCTTGCAAACGGGCGGGCTGGGCTGCCTGATTCTGGCATCAGGATCCGACGTACTGCGGTGACACCCATCGAAGGACGGTATCGCAGACCAGACATGGCCACCGCTCGCGCCCGCGGTTTTTTGCCCCATCTCAGGCCTTGAACAACAACAACAATAATAATAATAAGAATAATACTAATAATAATAATAATAATAATTTTTTTTGTGTATTTTATAATATCCATAATATGAGACCTCAGTCCAAAGGGGGAGCCAAGGGGCAAAGGCCCGGCGCCTGAGAAGGGCGGGGACTTCGTTCGGGGACACCGGCAGCCGTCGCCACCTCGGGGCTTCGAAGTGATGCAACTCTAGCATCCTCCAGACTTATGGTTGCTTTCTGCGAGTAAGAGCTTTTGTTAGATGCCTTGTGGGGCTTGAATAAAGCTGAAAGTGTAAGCACAAGTGCCAAAAAGCCTGTCATCCTTCAACTTGAAGCCCTCAAGCTTCAACACAGCCCTAGCCTAAACCTTCCCCTGACATCTTCTAAACCTCACCTTGCGGCGCCCTAAACCCTAAAGCTTATAAACCCTAACCCCCCCCCCTCCCCCTTTTTCCCCCCTTTTGCCCCTTTTGGGGCCTTTGTAGCAGCTCCGTCAGCTCCCCCTCCGCCTGGCCCAGCGCGGCCTTGCTTGGGAAGTCGCCGAGCTTCCGCACCGAGGAGAGCGCCGACTGCATCCTTAACGGTTAAAGGCTTCGGGTGTAGGCGTTTAGGGCTTAGGGCTTAGGGTTTGGGATTTATAAGGCTTCGGATTTAGAGAGGGCTCAGGGCTTTGGGTTTAGGGTTTAGGGTTTACAAGGCTTCGGATTGAGAGAGGGCTAAGGGCTGTGGGCTTAAGGTTTAGGGTTTGGGGTTGAAGGCTTGGGGCTTAGAGAGGGCGTATAGGGCTGTCAGACCCCATGTTTCTAGATCCGCGACAGGAGCTAGGCAGGTCTTTCGAGACCGCGCGGCTCCGTTTTTCTATGAGACCTTGGTTTATAGATGGGAAGCTGATGGAGAATGACGGAGATGGATATGCATAGGCAGAGGCATCGATAGAAATAGAGATAGATGGATCTAGTTGTAGATCGAACCAGATGGCGACAGTAGTGATAGATGGAGACAGACAGAAGAGAAAGAGAAAGATGGAAAGACTAGTTAGTTAGATCACACAGAGAGATGGATCGATAGATAGGGCTGGAGATCGATAGATGACGACTTGCCAACCCAAACCGAAAAAACCGGACAACTCCGAGAGCTTCCCTCATTTGCGTCCCCAGTCTCAGGCTCACGTCTGCCTCCGTGGGCCCCCCTTCGGCCTCCATCCCCTCGGCTCTGGCCACACACTGCGTAGGAGGGTTCTGGGGCAGAGGCCAGGGCCCAAAAGGCTGGGAGGAAAGCTCAGGAAGCGCGCCTCTTTCCTAGAAGAAGAGAGAGAGAGAGAGAGAGAGAGAGAGAGAGAGAGAGAGAGGCTCGGAAGGCCACGTGAGACCTTATTTCCAAAGGCCCAAAGTCCAAACTCCACAAATGGGAGGGGAGGCCAAAACCCCGCTCTTTTTTGGCCACCCCGATCGCCTCCGCCTCCGCGGGGGCCGGGAGTGCCAGGGGCGCCAGGAACAGGGCCACAACTCGCCGCGAAGCGACGGAAGCAAAGCTGCGAGCATCGAAAGCCTTGGGGAGGGGCCGAGTCTCTCGAAAAAAGCGAGGATTCCGAAACCGTGATACAAGGGCTTAAACCCACCTGTGGGAGAAAAAGAAACCTTGCACCCAGAAGCAGAAGCTGGACTACAACCGGGGGCAGGGAAGAACGCTGCTGGTTCCGCCCCTGTGATACAAGGGCCTGTTAGGGGCTAAGGTGTTGAAGCATCGCTCTTCGAGGAGCTTGCCGGGCCACTCCCAGGACCAGGCAAGCCCAAGCCAGATGCCGCAGCCGCGGGCGGCCCGGGCGGCGTCTCGCCATGGCGGGCGACAACGGCGCGCGCGCGCGCGGGTTCAGGGGGCTGGGGCCCGGCTGGGGCGGCGGTGGCTCGCAAGAAAGGCGGCGGAGGCTTCGGAGCGACGCTTCCAGCGACGAGACCTTGCAGCGCTGCCTGCCTGCAGGCGCAATCGGAAGGGCCGCTTGATCCCAAGCCACTCCAGGCCCAAGACCTCCTGCTGAAGCGTCACCTCTGAAGGCCCACAAACATCAGCTGCATGCACTGACACGTTTGCAGGTACCCGTGGCCTCCGCTCCAGCGTTGCTCCGCAAGACGGCGTCCTCGAGGCTGTTATGAAGGGGTTGTCGTTTCTGATTGCGACAAACTCCTAATTGTCTGGATACGAAATCTGGATCTATGGCGGCCAGAAGGCGGAGTATTCGGAAACAGGCTTTGTACAGAGGCCTCGGGAGCATGCATAGACCACCCCTGAGTCCTGCACTGCTGGCACCACGTCTTGGGCTGCAAGGCGCCGCAGCGCCGAAACTCTCGCTTCAACCATCCCCGGTGCGAGTGGCTTTCCTTCATCGGGGATCCTTGTGACGGGTTTGTGAAACTTTCTTAGGCAATAGGTCAAACGGCCCCTCTCTCTCTTCTTCCACTCTCTCTCCCCCTATCTGGCACTCCTGCAAGTTTCAAGTCTTATGCTGGGATGCTGAGTCAAGGATGCGGCAGATTGCGGCAGCCTGGCTGGAGCTAAACCACCTAAACACGTACTTGGCCTTCCAGAACTTTGCAGCGCGCAGCGTCTGACTCTGACTGTACCACCGGCACCTGTCTTTGGTGCCGGCAGTGACAGAACTGCGACGGAAAGGGCGGACATTGCCCTTGCCCCTTCGGGGCGATGGTGGGCGCGCCGGCCCTCTCATTTTGAGAGCGCCCTACTTCGAGGCCCTACTTCTTGCCCTTTGCTTTGGCCTTCGCCTTGGGGGCCGGTGGTGCCTCTTCTTCAGACTCCACGACATCCTCCAAGGGCATGGAGTACAAGCTGAGCACCAGCTCCAGCTGCGCAGAGGGCGCCGAACCCGGCTGGGCCTTCTCCTTCTCCCTGTTCTCCCTCTCCTTGGGAACTTGGATCTCCGGGTCCAGCCAGCGGGCCACGGGCACCACGGCGACCTCCGCCGCGTGAGGCCAGGGATCTGGGCAGCCCGACGACCACTCCCCTCCGGAGGGCGTCCGCTGCAGGAAGCTCGAGAGAGGAAGGACGCAGCCGCCCAAGCAGACACTCGCAGCCTTCTTCGGCCTCTGGGCCTCCGTCTCTGCGGCCTCCTCCGTCACCGCGGCCTCCTCCGTCACCGCGGCCTCCCCCGCCGCGGCCTCCTCTTCTGCAATGGGCGCCTCCTTCTCCGCCTCCTTCTCCTTGGGCTTGGGAAGGTAGTGGAGCTTCAGCTGCAAGCCCCGCTGGAGCCATTGGCGAAGAGCACGCAAGCCGCTCAAGTCCTCCTCGAAGCGGAAGTCGAAGCTCAGAGGCTCGCCGGTCTCTTGCCGCAAGGCTTTGAGCTTCAAGGATTCCTTGAGGACTACCGGGGGGGGAGGCTGACCCTCTTCCACCTCGTAGGTCTTCTTGCAGAGGTTGATGCTGCTCGTGGCCACCCAGATGCCGCTGGGCAGTTGGAAGGACAGAGCCAGCTGGCTCTCTTGGCCGCACTTCTCGGCCAGAGCGTCCCTCTCGACCACCTCGGCGCTGGGATCCGCCGCTTGCAGCTCCGCCTGGGCCTCCGCAAAGGCCTCCTGAAACGCACACAGAAAAACGCGCAGAAAGCAAAGGCCGACGCCTCTCTCAAATCTCCCGCTCGGCCGGCCGCGCCTCCTCGCCGGGAGAAAGCAGCGCCTCTCTGAGCAGCTCCTGACGCAGGGGAGCGTCTCTCGCAAGACACAGCGGGAGTCCCGCTGGGAGCCCGCAAGGCTCTCTCTTCCCAGCTCCTGATGGTTCTTCAGCTGGCCGAGAGCTAACGTGATGCGACACCACTCGGGTCCACCGCCGGCACCGCCCACGGCCGCGGACGCGGTCTGCTCCTCGGCGGCCTCCTCCTTCTCGGCCTCCTGCTTCTCGGCCTCTGCCAGCTCCTCCTCACTGGGCGCCAAGCCGTCCAAGACCTGGAGCTGGGGCGCCTGCGCAAGGCACAGAGGCCAAACGCCCCCCCCATTTCTTTCAGCCGCTCCTCGCCTCGCGGAGAACCTGGAGTCGGTAGAAAGGGAGCAGGCCTCAGCTCTCCCTTCACTCCCCACAAAGAAAACCCTCCGTGGTGCTGGGCTGCCCTTTGTGTCCGAGATGCAGATGGGGCTCCCCAGCAAGAAGAGGTGCCGGAGCGAAGAGCCCAAAGACTTCAAAGACAACTTCGCGCTGGCCAAGCTCGCCTCCGAAATCGAGTTCGATCAAGGTACCACCCGGCAGAAAGAAACCACTTTGAATGCCAAAGCCGCCATCTCGATAGTCTTTCACTTGGGGCCCGGGCAGTGTCCGTACTCCCGGCGTCCAGCGACAGCAAGTTCGGGAACTTGCTGGCATCCGCAAACCCCTGGTCGCCGAGCCTCGATACAAACAACCAGTGTGCATGGTAATGTATGCACGTGTGTGTGTGTGTGTGTGTACCTACCTACCTACCTACCTACCTACCTACCTACCTACCTACCTACCTACCTACCCACCCGCC